TGAGGAGAGGTGAGTGATTTGTGAGTTGAGTGGGACCCACGTGTGGATTGTTTTGATGAACAGTGTTGGAGAAATTACTTCTTTTTTTTTTTTCAAAACGGCAGAGTAACTATCATTAAACCCAAACGAACAAAGTCCGAATACATAATCCAGTACAATATGAAAATCGAAAAGGAGAGAAATGAGAGACATACCATAAGGTAGTCTAGAGCCTCTACAAGAGGAAACAGCAAAAACTAAAAGAACAAGAGATAAGGAAGATGTAACCTTCTACTGCAACATGCCTAGAAGGGTAACAGAATCCTCAACAGAAAACTAAAAAGAGATAAAACAAGAACAAAGAAACACTACACTGATGAAAATTGAATCCAGTCTGAATGAGCAAACTTCTTTTTAGAAGCTTGGTTTCAGGAATGAGAGTGTCTTGAAATATCCAAAGATTTCTTGATTTCTAAAGCCACCAAAGAAAATATGTTGATAATTGTATTCTATCTTCAACAACTTCAGAAGATCCAATGGAGCAGATTTTGAACCACCAAGCCTTGAAGGAGTCTTTATATTGCTGCAATCCATCCCATCTCACAGGAGAAATGTCACAGACTTTGCAGGCCCTTTGACAAGATAGAAGGATATGCTCAGAGGTTTCAGGCCTTCACCACAAATAAAACAAATAGAATCAATGTCCACTTTCCTTTTTATAAGTGAAACAGCTGTGGGCAAGGTTGATGCACTTCCATAGGAAGTGTTTCAGTTTACCAGCCACTTTTAACTTCCAAAGCCTGCATTGAATTGTTCTGTTGATTGTCAAGGGTGAGCTGCTCTCAGGTATGTCTAGCTGATGCAATTTGAGCTTTGAAAGAGAAGTGTAGGAACTAGAGACTGTGAACTGGCCTCTCTTGTCAAGACCCCAGTAGAGTCTATCAATCCTGTCAGGATGCAGAGAAGATATACTAAGGATTACAACACTGTCAATAGGATCAAAAACCTGCCTAATCAACCATTCATTCCAATTGAGACCATCTGTGAGAATAAGGTCTTTAACCCAGATGAGGTGATCTCTGGCAATAGGAATTAGAGATGGAGAAGGTTTCTGCAATGATGGTACCCAGTTACTGTCAGAAATATTGGTGTGCATACCATTCCTAATTTCAGTTCTCAGCAATTTTGATAAGAAAGGCATAACTTCAAGCCAACAGTTCCACATCCAAGATCCTTTCTGGGTTCTGACTGCTTGAGTGATGGAAGTTGTAGGGAAGTATCTGTCTTTCAGAATCCTACTGACCAAGAGATCTGGATTAGTAGCTACTCTCCACAGCTGTTTGCATAAGAGAGCTTTATTGAATAATTGCAGATCCAAAAAACCAAGTCCTCATCTTTTTTAGGCAGAGAAAGATAGCACCACTTCCTCCAATGTATACCTCTAGACGGTTGATCACTAGTGCTCCACCAGAATTGAGAACACAGCCTAGAGATTTCTGAGCAAATGTTCAGGGGAAGTTTAAAACATGACATAGAAAAAATAGGTAATGCTTGGATGACTGCTTTTAGAAGAACCTCTTTTCCAGCAGGACTTAAAAGCTTGGCTTTCCAGTTTTGCAGCTTATTCTTGACAGAAGTTAATAATTATTCGAAGACTTCCTTTTTTGATTTACCTATTCCAAGTGGCAAACCCAGATATCTGGTGGATCTGTGAGGAACAATGCCATTGAGACTAGTACAGATGGAAGCCTGAAGAACCAGAGGAGTATTTCTACTAAAAAAAATAGCAGACTTCTGTCAGTTCACAGTTTGCCATGTAAAAAGTCTATACTTCTCAACAATATTCATAAGGACAGCTGTCTGATCATTCCCTACCTTACAGAAGAAAATTGAGTCATCAGCAAAAAGAAGGTGTGTCAACAAAGGCCCATTATTAGAAAGCTTCATTCCCCTCAGAGATCTATCTTCCACTGACTGTATAATCAAAGCTGTGAAAGTTCAGCAACAATGAGAAATAGATAGGGGGATAGAGGATCCCCCTGTCTGATTCCTCTGGATGGAATGAAAAAACCATTTACAGAGCCATTCAGTTTGAAGAAAAATGTGGCAGTGTAGATACAGATCATAATCATTTGAACAAAATCTCTATGAAATCCCAGTTGAAGCATTATCTTCTTGACAGAAAGTCATTCAACCCTATTAAAAGCTTTAATCAAATCAATCTTGAGGGCCATAAAGAAATGTTTTCCTGAGGAATGTCTATTCAGAAAGTGAAATGCTTCTTGGGCTATAATAACATTGTCCATAAGCTGTCTTCTCTCAATGAAGGCAGACTGATACCCACTAATACAATGATGCAAACAAGCTTTAAGTCCCTGTGCCAAAATTTTTGATATGATTTTGTAGACCACAGTGCAAAGACTGATTGGTCTAAATTGACTAAGAGACTCTGGATTTGGATTTTTGGGGATTAAAGATAGAATCATGTGATTCCAGTATCTGAGAAGCTGACCTGAATTGAAGAAGCTAAGAATGGCTGTTGTTAGGTCCTGTTTAATAAGATCCCAAAAGTGTTGGTAGAATGTGGAACTCATCCCCTCTTCCCCTAGAGCTTTGTCAGAAGGTAAGTGAAACAATGCTGACTTAATCTCATCTTCTGAAATTGATTTTAATAAAGCTTCATTCATGTCTGGTGTCACTCTTTGAGGAATTAGGTGAAGACTAGAGTCTCCATCCCAGCTTGCCTCTGAGGAAAACAGGTGTGCATAAAAATCAGAGATGTGTTTCTCTAAATTTGCCTGAGATGATAATACTCTTCCCTAAGCTGTGAGAAGCCTTGTTATAGCATTGTGTCTACTTCTCTGAAGAGTAATAGTATGGAAGAATCTTCTATTTGCATCACCCTCTTTAAGCCATCTATGCCTGGATTTCTGTTTCCAAAAAATCTCTTCATGAAGGTGAGCTTTGTTCAAAGCTCTTTTTGTAGAGTCCCATCTGTCCCAATTATCACCAGACTTGTCATTATGAAGCCTTTCCAATTCTAGAGTCAGTTCAGCAATAAGTGCCTGGTTTTGTGACTGAAATGAGGAGCTCCATTTAAGCAATGCTATCCTGGTGAGCTTGATTTTCTCTTTGAGTTGGTTAAATGGTGTGCCTGAAACTGGAGTTTGCCAAGCCTTCTTTACTGTTTCTTCAAAACACTCCCTGCCAATCCACCTCTTGTCAAAGTGGAATCTGGTTTTCTTCTTGTCTTTAGGCAATCCCAAGTTAAGGAGCAATGCAGAGTGATCAGAAGAACTTCTCAGGATGTTAGTGAAAGAGGCATTAGCATAAGATTCATGCCACTCCAGAGATCCAAAATCTCTATCAAGTTTCTCTTCAACCAGCTCTGAACCAGCTCTATTGTTACACCAAGTGTATGGATATCGCTGCATTCTGAACTCCTCCATCTCCATGTCATCAATAAAAGAATTGAAAGCCTGCAGACTAGCTGGACTTCTAGATGTGCCTCCCTTCTTCTCAGCCTCAGTACAAATCTCATTCCAGTCATCAATAGCAAACCAAGAGTTGCCCCACATCCTATTCTCAGATAATAAGTCTTCCCATTGATCACATCTTATAAGCCTGCAAGGACTTAAATATACAAAAATACCCCATTGGGGTTGACTTGAAGAAATAGAATAATGCACATCAATAAAGACTTTACTGATAAGCTGAAGAATTACAACATTTGAATCCCAAAATAAGGCTAAACCCCCACTGAGACCAGAGGGATTAACAATTTCTACTCTATCTACATATCCTAGCTTACAACTAATAGGTTTAACAAAGGATTTTTGTTTTTTTGTATCAGAAAGGAAAAAGAAGTGCGGATGGTGAGCTTTAATTAGCTCTCGCATTTGGGAAATTGTATAGGGCCCACCCAGCCCTCTACAATTCCACACCACAGCTAACATTAGTCATGGTGGTGCCATTCTAGGCTGGCAACCTCCACTTTTTCTACTTGATGTTTGCTTTTCTTGTTTGCAGGTATGTTCTGCTGAGCTTCCTGTTGGGTATTAAGCTGGTTGACCACAATGTCCTTTGTGCCTCTGATCCTCTTCAAAGATGAAACAGGGTTGGGGATGACAGAATTATGGGATCCTCTGAGAAGCATTCCATCTTTGCTTATATCTCTCCTCTAAGTTTTTCATGGAGTAGCTTTCTTAGTTGTTAGATAATTATGGATTCTCTTGAAGATTGAGGAGGTAGTATGTATGGCATTCTCCACTTCCATAGCTCTGCTTGGATCAAAGGTTTGAATACAGGATTCTTGAATGGCTTCTTGGGGGATACAAGTTGTAGTTGCTGAAGCTTTGGAATCTTGAGCTTTTCCCTTTGAAATAGATTGAGAATCAGTTGGCATTTGTGTTAGTTGTTGACTTGTTTCTGCTTGCTGGGATGTAGTTCTAGATGGTGATCCCTGTTCATTAATAGTTGGTGAGTCTGGTGGAGAGGATCTTCTAGATCCTGATGGAATATGATCAAAACTTTTCAACCCATCTATAACTTTCAGAAAGTCACCGTACTGCCCTTCCTTCAAGCAATGGTTATTAATATCAACATTTCTTTTGGAGCAGCTTCTCTCCAAATGGCCTATCAGTCCACAATAGTGGCAAAGATTCAACAATTTTTCATACTTAAACCCTACTTGAGCTTCTTCTTCTCCTAACCTTATGTTTGCAACTCTTGGGAGAGGTTCCTCTAAGTCAAGAGTCACCAG